AAGGGCCACCCGTGAGTCCCATGAGATAGGAGAAGAGAGCAGAGGGTGAGGCTGTGCTGGTGCCAAGCTGGCCTCAGGCTCCCTGTCCCCCCTCACATGCCTCGTCACCCCTCACCAGCCTCTGACTCTGGAAACGGAGTGGTTTACTCTCTGCCTTAGGTGCCCAATACTTCTTGCCTCCAAGCCTTTGTTTTCACTTGCCTCTACCTCAGTGCCCTTTATCCAAACCCTACCTCTTCTTCAAGACCCAGATCCCCTGCCTCCTCTTCCAGGAAGCCTCTCTGGATCAGCCTAGCTAGTCTTTCCTTCTTCCTCCTGTACTTTTTTTTTAACTGAAGAATGGTCAGTTTACAATGTTGCATCAGTTTCCTCCTGTACGTTTGTCACTTTATGTCTTAAGGCAGTTACTTATGTACAGGCAGTTAGACCGTGAGAGTTGACCTTGGCACTTTCTTGAACCTCCTTCCTACCTCCCACTTCCCAGCAGCTGTGAGTATATAAATATTCTCATAATATTTTTCAGCAGGAAGAATAAACAGAAGCTCCACCTCTTAGACTGTCCCACTCACCTTGGGCACATGGGTGCACACATTGACTGGGGTTGGTCCAGCCACGGGGTCCCTGGGGTTGGGTGTGGCTGGCTCCGCAGGCCTTGGGTGTAGGTGCTTCCTGGCTCCTGGGAGGAATTCCAGGATTGGCAGCCTCCCTGGCCCTGTCTCCTGCTGAGCCCGTTTTAACCCTGTCTGTCTCCGCACAGCTCGATGACCTGTACCTGATCGCCATTTGCCATCGCCGGGGCATCAAGTCGCTTCGGGACCTCACTCCAGAGCACCTGCCACTGCTCAGGAACATCCTCTGGGAGGGGCAGGTGAGCCACCTTGGCTGAATCCACCCTGGAGCCCAGAGGAATTACATTCCGATTCCAGTGTGTTCTGGGGCCCCTTTCCTCACCCTTCCCAGACGTCCATCTCTGGATGTCCATGCGGGGGCCCATGAAGGCTCTTGGTGGACTCGCAGGACCCTTGTCCCTGGTCCTGCCCTGCCCTCCATCTCTACCTTCAGCCCCCTCTCCACCCCACACAGGCCCTCCTCAGCCTGGCTTCCCGCTTTTGCTCCCTGCCGTTCTCCTGCAGGTTGCATCTGGGATGCCCTCCCATCCCAGGATTACCTGCCCTGCTTGTGACAGCCACGTGGTGCTGGACACATTTCTTGGTTGATAGTCCACAACCTGACGCATGTCTACACGTCCCTCCTCATCTTCCTGGAGAGCAGAGACGTGAATTATCTAGCACCTGGCATTCTAGGATACTTTCCTCCTGGGGGATTTGCTGAATTGAATGAAATAGCGGGGTGTAAAAGGAGCCCTGGAGGTGAGGGGAGATGGAAGAAGAGAGCCTAGAATCTTGGACACTGGTCCTGGTTCTGACACTGTGACCTAGCCCGCCGGGTGCCCTCAGGCAGGGCACTTCACCTCTCTGGGCCTCAGTGTCTGGAAGGGATCCTCCTGAGCCTGCCATTCTGCCTGGTTGTTCTCAGCCGTGCTTCCGCTCTGAGGAATCAGGAGATGCGGCCCCCGTGCCAGAGCCTGCAGTCACCAGGGTACCCAGCAGGGGACAGGCTCACCTGTTTCAACCAGGGTGGTTCCAGGGCTCCGACACCGACCTGCCAGTGGGGCTCTGCCCAGGGCGACCCTCCCTGCACCTCCAGGCCCTTCACCTCTGAGCCACCCTCGTCACTGTGCCTAGCCTGCCTTCTCTCCACTCACCCGCAGCACCGTCTCCCTGGCTGCCTTTGTCTCTCTCTGGAGTGACCCGTTTCTCCGCTGAAACGGCCCTGGATGGCTGAGCACGGCGTCTTTCTCTCCAGAAGATGCCAGGCCAGCACTCCCACCGGAAGCCCTCTGGGTGCCCTGGCCCTGGTGTCACCCTGCTGCCAAGACCCCCGGGGGAGCTCCACATGGCAGCATAGGGTACAGTTCTGGGGTGTGCTGAGCCCACTGAGGCCCCTGTCTTTTTCTCTTCACCTCTGATGGCCTCAGAGGTTTGCTCACAATGGAAATGAGTCTCGTAGTAATCCTGAAGCGGGTTGGGTAGAAACAGCTCTACCCCTGAGCAAGTTTGGGGTGGGCGGAGGGAGCCGGGGCCACAGTCGATGCTTTCCTTTCCCGCCAGGAGTCCAGCGAGACCTTGCGGCTCACAGTCGCCTGCCCGAGGCCCCTCCCCTGTCCTTTCTCTTTCCCCAAGCCCCAGGCAGCCCCAGCCCATCTCCTGGTGTCCCTGCTCCACTCTGTTCCGTACTGAGAGGGAGAACAAGGCTTCCTCCTGCCGTCTGGGTGATTTAAGTGCCGGTAAATCATCCGGGGGAGGACGGGCCCCACGGTCTTGGGAATCTGGGCCTGTCCTTAGCAGTGGGACTTCCTAGATGGCCAGTGGTGACTGTTGAGGTTTTACCATGTGGGAGGCCGGTCCAGGCTGCCGCCCCCTTCCTTTGGGAGAAAGCGCCTCCGTTTTGCTGCTGTCACCCGCACTTGCTGACTCCCTAGATTGGCAGAGAGCCGTGGGGAGGGCTTTGACTAGATGTCCAGAGGCTGGTCGCATCGCAAGCAGGAGGGGGTTCTGGTGCTGCTTTACGGGCAGCAGAGTGACCCCCCGTCACTGTCCTCTCTCGCCAGGAGGCCATCCTGCAGCGCTACCAGGTGAGGGCTGACCGCCTCCGTGTGTTCCTGCACTACCTGCCCTCCTACTACCACCTGCACGTGCACTTCG